GTGGGATTGACCGTCACATTATAACGCCCCCACGGCTGAAAAGGTGGGATGCGGATTCGAACCCGCGACCCTCAGATTGTGAGTCGAGCGCCTTATCCACCTGGCCATGCCGGGCCACGAACATTGTTTAGCTATACTTGTAATGTACGACCAAAACATACACATAAAGAAGATAAAAATAACAGCTTTTCATTGCCCCGCCAAAATACATCGAACAAAGTCACTGTTTTACCAGTATTTTTCCTCTGTATGTCTGTGTAAACAGGTTTCGTTTATTAACAAAAAAAAAGTCGTTATGTTGTTAGCGCATGTCTATTTTGAAATGTAAAGTAAGAACAAAAAAATAATAGATGTATAAGACATGAGAACACTGTTAATGAAACTGTGTAACTGTTGGATTCAATATAAAACTAAGAAGAGTCAGTATTAGTAAGTAAATAGAGGGATTTTAAACCGCAATCATTATGAAAAAGTAAAGCAAGGAGCATCCCTATTTTACTCAAAAGCCTGGTGTCAACAATTTAAAATATTAATTTAAAGTGTAATTTGTTTTGTAGGGGTTAAATTACAAGAAGTAACTACTAGTACTTGTTTGTGTTTCTTCGTATTATTCTTATCACAACTTATTCAGTTTTTACCTTTTGCAGGGGCATAGATATTCAAGTAGAGACAATCTTCGCTGAAGTTTTGTAGGTAAGGGCGAAGCCTACGAAGATATGCTAGTCTTCCGGCAGGCATTCTTTTCAAAGCTTCGGTTTCATTCTGGATATCCGGGAACTTCTGCGGGCAGACAGGTGCAAGTTTATCAGCTGTCCTGACGCCTTTCCATCTGGGAAGAGTTACTGGTGGCATGAAACGTAGGGACCCTATTGGTGGGCTAGCAAAAGGAACCCCTAGAAAAACATCCACAGGTTGAAGTCGACGGTTTGATAGGGTTCGAACTATGCCCCTTACGGAGCCATACTTTGTATGTACAACCCGCGGGTAGTTCTGGTAGGGCTCACCTTGTAGCTGTTGGAATAGAGCCAAGAAGAGTAAAAAGACAATCACATCCGTGGTCATCATGGCGTACAGATTTATCGGTGAACTGTGTCGTCGCAGCTTCCTAAACACTTCTGAGTGTTGGTCTTATCTCCCGGCCTCAGCCTTAATGTTCGTGGATGACTCGTGTAGCTGGACAAGCCGAACTAGACTTAACTATGTGGTGTAGACCATTCCGACGGACATCAACTTGAAGAAGAAGCTATTTTCACGAGAACGCATCGTTTGATTGCCTTTCGGAAGAACAAGTAGATATTTCTTGGGATCCCCTGTTTATCGTATTATCACTGTAGGACACTTCTTGTAAGGCCATTTACAGCCTTAAGTTTGTCAGTTTAAATCCAGAGTTTTCTTTAAACTTTAACTCTTGACAGTATTAACAAAATACCTTAAATATGCCTGTCCAATAACAATACATTACACAAGAAAACAACAATTGAAATTATTTTGTTAATAATCAAGGACAGTATTCATATTATCAGTAAAATATAGAAGGTAAAAGTTTAGGTTTGACGTTGAACAGGAACCATTTTATTTCGACGCTTTCGAACAAACTGTTTCTATGCTAGTTATCCCACCCGAATCACGAGAGGCTCCAATATTTTGTTAAACCAACCAAAGGAGTATTAAGCCAATATTAAACTATATGACCGCGCGCCAAGCCACTGTCATGAGACGTCTAGTGATGCTGGGAGTGCAGATCATCAGCAACCGTTGAGTCCACACTGAGAGTGCGCATAGGATGCGGGAGTTCACCATTGAAAACACGGGGGAAAGTCACTACTCCCGTATTCACAAAAACTATTGGAGTTTCTAGAGCAACTAGGAAGATGCTGAATAGTTTATCACATTCTACGCCGACATATTTATTTAACGCTGAGGCTTTTGAAACAAAATCTAAAAAGTTAAAAAAACGCTTTTGAATTATCAGTCTCGACACATAGCGTTCGTATAAATATTGCACCTAGTAAATGTTCAGCTCTATCGATTCTGAGAAGCAACACTGCAAAGGTTTTCGAAAACCTTGTAGTATAAAAGTAATAAATTGTAAAGTTCTTAAAAAGTATACCTACATGTTTTCATTTCGTTTCTCCTGCGTTAATATATAAATATATACCATTACAACGGGGTATGAGTACCATTACACTCGTATGTTTATGTTTATAAAAAAATCATGTTTGATTTTGTATCTCACTATCTTTCCCCACTATAAACAAAGAGTGCTAGACATAAAGAAGGGGATATTAAAACCTTAATGTTTTCTTAGAAGTATTTAAACACTTTAAGTGCCACAAAGATGTTTTGTCAGCTTTACTTGTACCACGATATTGTTTAGACAGATAAATTTATATTACAATATGGTGAAGTAAAATAGACTCAAAAACCCATAAACAAATTCAGTATTGAATTCTTGATTGTATGAGATGACTTTTTGAATTTCTGAGAAGAAAAGTGCTTCTTTTTTTATACATGAATTTTGAAATGATTGAAATGCGAGGCTTTTTTAACTAGAAATTTGATTAATACTTTCAGTACTAATGACGTAAAAAGAAAACATAAAATATATGAAAAAAAAGGCACAGTAAACTTATCGGGGAATATTCATAAATGTGAAATGTCGTCAATTTACATAATACTAAAAAAATAATTATCATTTTAAATATCAGTAAGATGAAATAAGTCAATGAAAACGGAAAGAAAGAATGCTTCTCCTAAAATATATAATTTAATCGTTATGGCTCAAATGAAGAAAACGAACTATAGAAGCAATAAATCCAGATTGATATACGGATAATAAAGAACGTTCTAAAATTTAAATTCTAGCAGAATGTGGAGATTTCAAACACTTGAACCTCTTAGTGTTTATTCGTATTAACGACGAAATAGTTTCAAAATATCAGTAGATAAAAGTAATGAAACGCAAGTATCCAAAAACTGGAAAATTAGGGTATTATTATACATGCTTCTTGAAAGGCTGTTAAAACATTATATGTAGATGGTAAAGTAAAATAAATCACTTTTTATGTTCATACAATATATATATCTATATATATTATATGCGCCTAACTGAAACTACCGTTACAAACTATGTAAACTACAATGTACAAAACTTTACTTCTTTTATACGTTATTCTATCGCAAAAATTATTATACAGCTGATAATTCATTCCACTTGACCGTGTAAACATAATGTTAAAACCTCCAGTAAACTGCTAAATAATGAGGGTAATTACATGTTTCAAAAGGTTACTTATTTATATATTGTTTTTAGAATGTTTCGCTCAGTGCTACACAAGGTGTATTGTATATAGGCGTCCTTAACTTTGAACTCGTGGACTACACATATCTGACAGAATAACACTGCTATAGCGCACCCATGGTTTCAAAGTGCGGAGCGGGCACGAGATAACCACTTTGCTACGCCATGCCCTGTTTCAAAAGGGGTAGATTGTTCAATAAAGGATGGCAAAAAATACAGTTTACTTTATGACCAACATTTTCATTTTTATTTCCATTTTACTACTGCAATGTATTTTCATAACCATTCTACTAGATACGAGTGTTTAGTGTTTTGTAATTCTCTTGGTTATCAACTGGACAACTTATACAATTCGAAAGTTGATGGAGGGCATTCATAGCCTTTGTTACACTAACGACTCATAGTTTTACTTTTCTAAATGAGATATAATTTAACATTTACTTTAATTCATTTACATTAAAATGAACTAATTTTCATTCCCATGCTCCTTTGAAAGTAAACCGGATTTTTCACAAATTGTTTACTTCCAAAGTAACGATAAAGAAACCAAGACAAAAAAATTGATGAGATAGAACAATATGAATAGTCTCGACTTATACGTTAATGTAAAAATCGTCGAGAGATTTTCTCCTTTGATGGATTTTTGTGGCCTTTTGTAAAAAGCTAAAGACAAATGTGCTAATGGTTTAAAATACTCTCATACAAAACACACGTAAGCACATATCCGCTCAAATACTAAGGAAACCATAGTCGTATATTTTTTTTATGAAATATTATTATCATTTACTAGACGAAAAAAATGAAAATGTATACAAGTTACTCCACTTGTGTAAACGCCAGTTACATGCTTAAATGTCATATCTATACGCTCTCATCTGTGTCAACGTTTGTCATCTGCTTAAAGGCTATTGACCTGTTTAAACACTATGGACCTAGTTAAATTACAGTAAAAGATTATGCTATTTTTTAAACAGCACTCAACTGTTTAAGCTCTAATGACGTGTTTCAACGTTAACCAGCTGTTTTAACGCTAGTGAATGGTTAATATTACTCAGCTGTTTATACTATAGTGATCTGTTTCAATGTTAGTCAGTTGTTTAAACGCTAACGATCTATTTCAACATTAGTCAGCTGTTTAAATACTAGTGACCCGTTTCAATACTAGTTGACTGTTTAAACGTCAGTGACGTATTTCAGCACTAGTCAGTTGTTTAAACACTAGTGACTAATTTTGAAAACTAGGCAGTTGTTTAAACACTAGTGATTAATTTTGAAAACTAGTCAGATGCTTACACTCTTTTGACCTCTTTCGCCAATAGTCAGCTGTTTAAACGTTAGTAACTTGTTTCCACATTAGTCAGCTGTTTAAACGTTAGTAACTTGTTTCCACATTAGTCAGATGTTTAAACAATAATGAGAAGTTTCAACACTAGTCAGTTGCTTAAAAGCTAGTGATCTGTTTCAATACCAGTCGACTGTTTAAACACTAGTGACCTATTTTTAAAATTTGTCAGCTGTTAAACCTTAGTAAACTCTTTCAACGTTAGTCAACTGTTTCTATATTAGTCAGCTGTTTAAATCCTAGTGGCCTATTTTGAAAATTACTCAGCTGTTTAAACCTTAGTAAACTCTTTCAACGTTACTCAACTGTTTTTGTTAGTCAGCTGTTTCAAACTAGTAAGTTTTTAAACTCTAATTTGAGTATTATTGAAACACGTCATCGGTGTTTAAACAGATGATTAGTGTTGAAACAGGTCACCTAGTAGTGAAACAGGTTACTTGAAACTAAACAGCTGACTACCGATGAAGCATATCACTAGCGTTTAGACAGCTGACTAGTAGTGAAACAGGTCACTTGAAATTAAACAGCTGACTACTGATGAAATACATCACTAGCGTTTGGATAGATGACTAGTAGTGAAACAGGTCACATGAATCTAAACAGCTGTTTACCGATGAAACATATCACTAGCGTTTAGACAGCTGACTAGTAGTGAAACAGGTCACTTGAAATTAAACAGCTGACTACTGATGAAATACATCACTAGCGTTTAGATAGATGACTAGTAGTGAAACAGGTCACATGCGTTTAAACCTGAAACAGGTCACTTGAATCTAAACAGCTGTTTACCGATGAAACACATCACTAGCGTTCAAACAGTTGACTAGTAGTGAAACAGATCACTTGAATCTAAACAGTTGGCTACCGTTGAAAAACAACACTAGCGTTTAACAAGCTGACTAGTAGTGAAACAGATCACTTGAATCTAAACAGTTGGCTACCGTTGAAAAACAACACTAGCGTTTAACAAGCTGACTAGTAGTGAAACAGGTTACTTGAAACTAAACAGCTGACTACCGATGAAGCACATCACTAGCATTTAGATAGCTCACTAGTAGTGAAACAGGTCACTTGAATCTAAACAGTTGGCTACCGTTGAAACACATCACTAGCGTTCAGATAGTTGACTAGTAGTGAAACAGGTCACTTGAATCTAAACAGTTGGCTACCGATGAAACACATCTCTAGCGTTCAGACAGCTGACTAGTAGTGAAACAGGTCACTTGAATCTAAACAGTTGGCTACCGTTGAAACACAACACTAGCGTTTAACAAGCTGGTGCTAGTCATATGTTTAAACGCTTGTAATAGAGTCTAGTTTTCTTTCTTCTTTTTTAACTGAAGAAATATTTATGACGCTATCCTTTGAAATAACTCATCTAAAATTGAATACCAGCTTGCTAAGTAAATTATTCTAGAAAACAACCCGATATATTAGCACGTGGGAAAACTAAATCCAGAGACTATGGTTAAGAATGTTGCCTGCAGTCACATCCAAAATAGTAAGAAAAATCTCGCAAAACTAGTTTTTAATGACTATGTACTTTTTTAAATCTTCAAAATCTAGATTTTATGCAAAATGAAAGGAAAGATACAGTTATTTTTTTAAAATATGTTTCATCTTTCTTTCAACAAAATAGAAAATACTGATTATTACAAAAACAACAATATTATGAAAAAATGTGTGTGTCTGACAATCTGAGTAAAATAATCTGTTGGAATATTTTGATGCTGCTTATTCTTTAAATACCCATGTTACTGTTGGTTGGTAAGAAATACAGAGGATTAAACACACAAAATAAAGCACCGTTATAATAAATGTATTTGAATGTTCGTATGTTATGTTACTAGACATAAGTAAACGAAATTCCTCAGTAACGTATGAAAAGTGATTATTTTCAAAACAGTTTGACCTTTTTAAAAAAAAATTGTGCTTAACAAAATACATATCAATAACATCACGAAAGTTGTTATTATGTCCTTAATTTCCTATTTAGGAGATCAAGGGATTTAGGTTTAATGGGAAATTAAAACACCGTGTATAAATCTAATTTCAAAAGGAAATGCAAACTCCCCCAATATACTGATAAATCTCGCTCATGAGCTGTTTAAATTATAGTTTTAAAATGCAAATATATATAAATTTTTTCAAATAAACTGCATACTTTTTACAAATTCCGAACAAATAAACCGCACATGTAATATTTTCAGAATTAGAGCTTTTGTCCGAGTTTATAGTTATTCGAAGTATACACGATCTTA